TTCAGGAAATTCTCGCAGATATCAGTGGAGGCTTCAATATCTGGCGAATTTGGGGGTTTGACAACAGAGTTTATTGTACTGAACAAAACTTTGGGCCTGTCAGAATGTTTATTAATTAAGTCAGAGAGGTGTTTTGCTCTGGCTTTTTTGGCTGCAGTCTGGAAAGTTACCAGTGATAATTTAAAAATTTCAAACGAGACAGTGAGACGGTCTTTCTTCCATCTCCGTTCAGCTTTAGCAACAGCCTGTTATTGTTCATGAGTTTACCTTCTGTTTCTCTCCCTGCTTAAATCTGTTCTTCTGTTTTTTTATGGTTCACAGCAGCTCAGGCCCATGTGACGCCCAGTAATACTTTTTTTGTGTATGTTAACATACTGAGTGTCACATATGCAAATGTTTCTCAGTGTGTGGCTGGTGGTGTGTTTGCAGGACCTGTCAGAACAACACCAGAAGACCCTAGCCCTGCTGAGGAAGCAGCAGACTCTGATCCTCGACGAGGAGCTCATCCAGTGGAAGAGGAGGCAGCAGCTGGCTGGCAACGGGGGTCCTCATGAGGGGGGGCTGGATGTCCTTCAGTCCTGGTATATACTGGACATGCTTATTCATTATTGTAACTGGCGTATTATATTATAGGGTGAGGATTTTATTAGATAGTTTTACATAACGCAGGCAAGTGCGTGATATCTTTTTTTTTTTTTTTTTCAGTTAAGGTATTTACTGTAATAAAACATTTTAATTCGTAACATATAAACATATATTTTTTTATACATACATATGCCTAAATATACTCACATAGAAACTGGCCTAATTTTGTCCTCTTCCCTGTTACTTCCACACTGTGGTGGTATCTCCTCCTCCTCTCCCTGAACACTAGGTGTGAGAAGCTGGCTGACCTGATCTGGCAGAACCGACAGCAGATCCGGCGCTGTGAACATCTAACCCAGCAGCTTCCTCTACCGGGCCCAATGGAAGAGTTGCTGAGCAAACTCAACGCTGACATCACTGATATAATTTCCGCATTGGTTACCAGGTGAGAACTAGACTTCACCTCTGCAGTTGTTTTTATAGAGTTCACAATGCAGATTCTGTCCTGATTGTGCAGCAGTGACTAGGTATTTACTCTTGTGAGGATGCCGGCATTGGTCATGGCAGTTTGCCCACGCAGTCTACATGTGCTTCGTGGAATTAGTTAAGGCTTCCCCACTTGCTGGGATATCTTGTGGGAGGTTACTGTGGAGTTGTGGGTTACCAGAGCTGCCTCTATGAGCCATTCTTGTAGCCTGGAGCGATAACCTTGTTCTGAGTAGGTCTAGAGCTCCACCACGGTTGTGCATGTTTACTGATAATCATGAGTGAGGACCTAATGTGGTGATCCCAGGATTGCGTCTTTACTTTTTGCAGAGGATGTAGTTCAGCTGCTTTAATCAGATAGTGACCTCCAGTGCGCACTAGAGTCCTCTGGAGTAAATGATTAAAGTGTTACACTCACATAAATAACTATAGTAAATATTATTTTTACTAGAGTTCTGCTATATACATTACATTTCATTTGTTGCATGATTTTTGTATCATTGTGATAAAGTACCTCGACTTGACAGAAGCCATAAAAACTAAATTTACTGTATAATAGTCCTTTTATGACATAAAAGTTTGTAATCACCTGTTATACTGATGTTTTTCTTCTTGTAGGAGTATAATTGAGACACATTCTATTATTTACATCTGAAAACTTACATTTTGTCGATGTCCCCACAAGGTTGAATGAAAGGTGAGAATACTGTTGTAGGGCACAAAGGAGAAGAAAAAGTCTGCACACTGAAATAAATATTTGTATTCTCTCTTTTTTAAGCCCTTTCAATCTGCAAGGTCTTCTTCAGAACATTAAAAAAGAAGGAGTTTTAAAAAGAGAATAAAATATTTATTTGGAGCCCATCAGTGTGCAGACATTTTCTCCTTTGTGCCCTGCATTGATATTTATTTAAAAATTTTGCCTGGACGTGTGCACACTTGTTCCATTTTTCTCAGAACATCTTCCAATTTTTTATTTGTTTTCCAGTCCATAAAAGCTTAAGTGATCTGAGATCATTATTGAAGCACAATGGGGCAACTGGGCTCTAAATATTTGGTTGTGAATGATTCTTCTTGTACTGTTGCTCAGCGAGATCTTTATCTCTTTCTGCCCTTTCAGTTGTCAGTCTTGTTAAACTGTTGTACAGCGTTTTGTTCTTCAAGTACAAAACATTACTTTTTTGCAAACCCTTCACACCAAACAACACCATCATTTTACCTCTCTCATACAGGAGACACATAAAAAGCAGGGCTACAGATTTAGTTAATTCAACCTCTCTAAGCTCTGGTTGTGACTTTAATCAGATTCTCAGTGTGCAGTGTACTTCTGTCTACACTGCTGCTTAACCGCAGAATTACAGCAGTGTTACATTGCACAATTATTGAATGAAGTTTCACTTTCACTTCTTTCTGTATGCTCACTCTTGCACCCGCCCATACATACTCGTTTTCTGTCTCTCTGTCCAGTGAGTCTGTTAAACATTCGTATCACTGCCCAATGTCTTATCTATGCCAGGTCGTCTGATATGTGTTGACCCATTCAGTTTGACTTCTAGTGCAAGTTTATCGTGCATCGCTGTATGCTTTTGTTTCAAGTTTGTCCAAATGCAGGCATCTGTTTTAGTTTTACATGACAACCTCAACCACAACCTCACAGTTGGTGAAAACATGCTTCAATAATGGACAATTTAAAGTAGTAATCCCTTAACTTGTTTAAATATTAATTAATTAACAAGCTGAATACCTTCCAAAATTATTGTAAGTGAAATTCACTGATCTACAGATAAGTCTTATTCAACTTTAACCTTTCCCTGTCAGCTGGTAGCACACAACAAAATGCATACCTTCTTTGTTCTTCTTATTTTTCAAGGATCATGTACAATAACAGTAATCTCAAGTAACCAGGTTTAACTACTAGCTACTTTCCATCTACAATCCTTGCCCTTTGTATACCACTGTGTCACTATGCTGGTTTATTGTTGCTTTTGTTCTACTGGCTATATACTGGCTTATACCAATGGTATAGTTCTACAGTAGTAACACAAGTAGTAACTAAAGAAAAAAGAAAAAATTAAAAATAAATAACAAAATTTAAGAGTGTGTGCAAATTTGCTTCCAAGTAAAAAATAAATGCATAGTATGACACAATAAATAATCAAAATATAATAGTCCTTGTATAACTGAAATCAGAGATGTGTCTGAATTCATGGCAAGAATGGTCTGTGGGTGTAGGACTTCATCAATGTTGTGTCTTCTCGCTGATTCTGTTGTTAAATCTCTTATCCTAATCCACTGTATCCCTTCACTTAGCTAGTGTCCATACATTAATGTGATTGCCTTGGGATAACGCAGATCCTCTCATGAGAGAAAATGTTGACCAAGACATCACGTCATTGTCCCCTCTTCTCCTCAGTACCTTTATCATAGAAAAGCAGCCTCCCCAAGTGTTAAAGACCCAGACGAAGTTTGCAGCCACTGTGCGCCTTCTGGTGGGCGGGAAGCTCAATGTCCACATGAACCCACCTCAGGTCAAGGCTGTCATTGTTAGCGAGCAGCAGGCCAAAGCTCTCCTGAAGAATGAGAGCACACACAGGTAAGTGCACATGCTAGCATGCAGATTTGTGATGAGGATAAATGTATTGGTAAACCTAAACACTAATAACAAAATAATATGTGATTATAGCAGGTACTTTGTTTGATATTAATAGGCAATTCATTTGTTAATTGTTAGTTACTAAACAAATAGAAATAGTTATATGGTGATTTATTGAAGATGTCTCCAGCCACAGTCACTCAGAATGTGTTTTTTTCTGTTCTAACTGCTTTCTTTTGCCCTGGTAGTGAAAGCAGTGGAGAAATCCTCAACAACAACTGTGTGATGGAGTATCATCAGGCCACTGGCACCCTCAGTGCACACTTCAGAAACATGGTAAGCTCTATTACTTATATTTCTAGGAGTGTAGAACAACATTATTTTCACACATTTGATTAGAAATCTCATGTTGTTTTGTGACGGAAAATTTAAGAATACAAAAGTGGCTCAAATCGGATTTTTTCTTTTTCTTCTTTTCTTTCTTCTCATATGTGACTGTGTTAACAGTGTGAACAGAACAAGGAATCTGATCTTTTCTATTCTGATTCAGGCCACTTATATATGTCTAATTCAGTTTACAGGTCTGATCTTTTGCAAACAGTCTCAGTCGACGTTACTCACTCTCTGACTAGTGGAGCGGACAGATGTAGATAAAAGTAACCATTCACCTCCTGGATGAAATCTGGTCCCACCACTCTTGGCTCCATAAGTAGCCGTTGCTCCACAAAAAGTCATAATTAAAAAGTCTTGATCTTTCTCCTCTTCCTTGTTATCATCTGCTCACAAATTTGCCGGCTTCTACAACTTACAAATGGAACTGTAAACGCTGGCTCCAGTGGCCTACGTGTTGAATACGACATCGTGCTGCGTGTGACGTCATATGAGGTGTTTTTGTTTTTTGCGCATGTGGGTCAGTTCAACGAAATCTGATATTGGCCACATGAAGGAAGGAAGAAAGAAAGAAAGAAAGAAAGAAAGAACTTTAACAGCCAAATAAAATAATTGGATCTGAGCAAACAAATTGACCATTTTAGGCTTTCAGTGTGAACATAGCCCAACAGACTGATGATCTGGTAGATGTCTAATTAATAATCGATTAATCATTACTCATTACCCCAGTTTAGACAGTACAAAACTCACTGCATAGTATTTCAGTCATCATCGTCAGGAATCACATTATGTGTTGTGCCACCCTTTTAAAACCAAACCATGTAATAACCAGTTGATAAAACATGTAGTTTAAAAACCGCCTAGGATTAAGTTATTGTGCTAGACAACCTAAACCCAACCACAAATACAGCATAAGCAACCTGTGAAAAGAGGAAGGTAGATTAATGCTTTGGACACATCCCCTTCCCCTTTTACAACATTCTCCCGCACTAATGCACTAATAATTAATAATGCACATTAATAATTACACAAGCTGCGCAAGTGTTTTGACAGTTATGAGAAATAATTAAATGTACGTTTTAAATTAACAGGTAATAATATTTATATTTGTTTTCCACAAACTGCTGGCACTTTTCCACTGACCAGCCGCTCCATTTTTTATAGTACATTGCATTGAGGGACAGTAAGGTCCACTAACACAAAACTCAAAAACTGAATGATTTAAACTCAATGCTAACTGTGTACAGTATGTCATACAGTCTCATTTTGTCATTTTTCAATGAGTGAATGCAATACATACTCAAAACATTATTAGAAGTGGTATATAGAATTCAGTTGGAATATTTAACAAAATAAGAGAATGAAGGATAAAGCTAGTGTTATTGTATGTTGTTATCAACAAATTCCATGAAAACTAACAATGAACTGATCCCTGTAGCACATACTGTGTGTATCTAAAGCCTGATTATTCCTCTCAGCTCATCAAACAAGCAGATCGGTGTAAACACAGTAGAGCATCTTCAGTGTAAATAAGCTCAGTTTTTTCAGAATGCACTGGCTATGTTCATTGTAAAGAAGGAATGTGTCTTTTATCAATTCTCATGTGCTGCGTGTGTGTCTGTGTTTACAGTCACTGAAGCGGATCAAGCGTTCAGACCGGCGAGGTGCTGAGTCGGTGACAGAGGAGAAGTTCACAGTTCTGTTTGAATCACAGTTCAGCGTGGGGGGCAATGAGCTGGTCTTCCATGTCAAAGTAATCAGTTGGGACTTTTGACCTTTTTATACCTGTGAATAAGAGCTGAACAGTACTGAGTATTTTGTTTGGTTATTAAATGGTCAGCTTTACTCCTTGGCCATGAAACAATAATTAATAATTGATCATTTTAATTAAACCAAGCCTCTTTAATCTGTTTCCATCCCTCTTCTTGTGTCTGTAACCTGCAGACCTTATCGCTGCCTGTGGTAGTGATTGTCCACGGCAGTCAGGACAACAATGCCACAGCAACAGTCTTGTGGGACAACGCCTTTGCTGAGCCAGTAAGTTGACTTTTTCCCCAATGGCCTTTTTCTGCATCGCTGTATCATTTATAAAAAGTATCAGTAAGTTCAGAAGGGCAGTGTAGGGGCTTGTGTATTACAGTTGTCATCCTGTGGTGTTCAGAGGATGAGGCACTGAAGGACTGCACTCCTTTATCAGGCATTAATAGACACCCTGCAGCCAATCATAATTGATCCAGATCATGGTGTAATAAGCTGTTAAATGATAAATCTTGTCATATTTTATATTTTCTTGTTATCAATAATCCCATGTGCTGAACTAACAGTGAATATATCCTGCTAGCAAGTAGTGTGTGTGTGTGTATCAAAGTCTGTCCCATAGAGCTCTGTTACTTACGTTAACTTAAAAACACATCAGTGAGCCACACTGTTGCACTGGGTATCATGATCCATCATTACTATGAACACACAAACTGCAACTGAGACAAGGACTGAGAGAAAAAGGCTCAAATACAAATCCGTCTGCTACTTAAGCACCACGGACAGCATCATCAAACGCATAAAAATTCTCAGCCGCGTCGATCTGCTTCCAGCAGGCAGACTCTCAGGGAACCTTTATTGCTGCTTGCAACTTTAATTGACTTATGTTTTCATTTGCTGCATTCCTCTTTTTTCCAAACACAATTTTGGAGTCAACTTTTTTTTTCCTGTGTTTACCTCCCTTCCTCGTCTCCTCAGGGCAGGGTCCCGTTCATCGTACCAGACAAGGTGCTGTGGCCGCAGCTGTGCGAGGCCCTCGATATGAAGTACAAGGCAGAGATGCACAGCGGGCGTGGCCTGTCGGAGGATAACCTGGTCTTCCTGGCACAGAAGGCTTTTACAAGCAGCAGCAACAACCCTGAGGACTACCGCAACATGACCATATCCTGGGCCCAGTTCAACCGGGTGAGGCCAGCTCTTTTCCACAGCTGACTGTACAGAGCCTCTTCTGCCACTGCCATACACAGACACACACACACCCACCCATACACCCATACACACATAAACATAAACTAGCACAAATAGTCTGGGTTATTAACCAGAGTAACCTGGCTTTGTGTGTGCATGTAAACATACTGATGGAGTATGTTTAATTTATACAGGAGAGCTTACCTGGACGCAACTTCACCTTCTGGCAATGGTTTGATGGAGTGGTTGAGCTCATGAAGAAACATCTCAAGCCCCACTGGAATGATGGGTAATTATGCTGCCCTTCTTTATTTTGCAAGAAACTAGTTTTATTTTGATAACTGAGATGACAATTTATGATCAGAGGTAACATGAAAAAGTAGAATTGAAAAAACAAAGGTAACTCAAGAGATTTCGAAAGGTTAAGAATTTAAGACCAAATCACTAGTTTCTTAAAGGGGATCTATTATGCTCATTCCGAGCTCTATATCTGTATCCTTTCCTTATGGAAATATAGCCATAACTATATGTTGTTAGTGGTTAGTTACTTTAGCTGCTGTTGGTTGGTTGCAGCTAACTTAGCCGTCCTATTCGGTGACTTTGCCCAGACTGCAGGGAGTGCCAGTGCCTTGAGCTCCCAGTCCGTTAGCAGTTAGTAGCAGTT